GATTAGAGGAAACAAAAGAAAATGTATCATTAAATCCCCATAACAAATCATATAAAGATTTTTTTATGGCCATATTAAGTTTCTATCCAGCACTAGTTCCTTAGAAAAAGATAATGAAACATAAATTGTCATGTCAAATTAACAAGATACTTTATTTTATACATATGGCTGTTAAAATATTTAAAAATGGAATTTTAAATGGTTATTTAAAGCTCTCTTTTGTGATAATTTTAGAATGCAGATGTTTTTTATATAGATATATGTGTATATAAATACAGGTAGGTCAATGTGTACATTTCTCAACAAGAAAGAAAAAATAAATAGGCCACTTATAGAGATTCACATTCCTTTTTGTTTACAGTAAGACTATAAATCTCAAAAAGATTCGCATGAAGAAATTGTACCTCAAGAATACCAAATATATCATAGAGGAATATGGGGACGGTTTGGTTCCTTATTTACCTGAAACAAGTTTCTAAATGAAAAATATGACCCAAAACATTCCAAAATCAATAGAAAAACAGAAAAAATATTTTACTTGTAAGTGAGTGACATAGGCACACTAATAAAATTCTTATTATGGAAATCATTCAATGTTGAATTTTAGGAACTAATAGGTTACTTAGAAGACATTAGAAAAATAATATTAGAAAATTACTCAAAAAATATTAGAAAAAATACTATGAATCAATACTTGTAGAATATAGGCAACTCTATAGCCCCAGATACCTTCTAATTAAACAAGCCAAAAAAAAAAAAAAATGAAATGAACAGTACTCAAGATAACAGAAAGAAACCACAAAATAAAACCAAGGAAACCAGGGAGAAGGAATTAATAAAAATAAAAGCAAAAGTAAACAAGTTGGAAAATGGTAAAGATAAATGTTAAATCAAAACTCACATTCTTCAACGATATATAAACCTTAAAAGCTGTAATCAGGAAGAACTGTGCATGAGAATTTTAAAAGGGATATACTGATAATATGGAAAAAATATTTTAAATAGAAAGGGAGGACATAGTATAAATATTACAATCTAAAAATATATATATATATTTCTACGAAAATCAATATTACTAAAATGTATTCAGAAGATGTGGAGAACATGAACAGAACAATAAGACTAGAGGAGATTAGAGCCATAGTAAAAATATATACCCCTAAAAAGGCACCAGGCCCTGATAACTCATGACATATAAACTGCTAAAGAACAAGGAAAAAGCTGAAAAGTTGTTTAGCTAGTATAAATTCAATGCCAAAATTGGATAAAGGATAAAAAAGAAAATTATAAACCAATAAACATTTGAATTTATTTAAAGCAATTATAAACAAAGTCAAGTCCAGCATTGCATTAAAAGAAAACTATACCACAGCGTTATTTACAGTACTATTTGGAAGACTCTATTAATTCAATAATTGTAATTTATTACATTGTAAGTTTAAAGGGAACAATCTGTAAGAAATAGTTGATAGATGTCAAAAAAATTTAATAAAGTTTAATACCCATTCCTGACTAAAACAACTGAGGCTGTGGGTAAGTTAGGAATGGAAGGAACCTTCCTTAACTCCATAGATCATAGCTGCTAAAAACCTGAAGCAAACTTGTACTTTGTTCCTGTCTTACTTTGGACAGACACCAAAGAAGCTTTTCCTCACTTGAGTTTGGTCCAAACCTATTGTTCTAGTCATCAGATAGTTCTCCATGCAGTCTTGAAAGTCTTTCGAAATCCTTCAGAACCATGCCTGCACTGTCCACCATAGGAAGATGGACTCTGGCTGTATGACAGAAGGGAAAGCTTGAAGATTGTTTTGGCAGTGATGCTCTCTGCCACAGGCAGCTTCTCTGGGTGCCATATATCTACACAAATGCTTCTTCACTCTCCTCTTCTCAATAAGGGAGATGACCCAAAATCCCATTTAGTTATATACACATCTCTAAGTTCAAGAACTCTAAGTGCTGCACAATCCAACACATTAAACATGGATGTAGTTCTTTATGGTTTGATGACCTATAAACTAAAGGATGTTAACTTCTCCTCCATGTCCAATACATTTAATGATATATGTAATTAATAATTGGGTAGCATCCCTAATATCAATAAGAAAAAGACAAACAACCCCAAATAAAAGTAGAGGCTTTGACTTTCAAGATGGGAAATTAATTGTACACAGTGACATTCTTTCCTTCCTCCAGCTACTCTATCCTTCCACTCTGAGTCTTAGATTACTTTTTAAGTGTGTGAGGACATAGTCTCTAAATTCAAAGAGATATTTTTGGCTAATGAAAGTCTAAAGTTTGAAGAGGATAACTGCAGCTTAGAATTTTGCACTGGAGTATTTTAGAAAGTCCTACCACAGAAGATGGGAGCACAATCATGGGTACCAGTGCCTAGAGGTGGCAGAAACCAGGACTAGGGAGAGAGGTGGAAACCAATGCAAACCACTGAGAAATGAGTTGTGGTACCCACACTGACCATGCCTTGTATACCTCATTCTCCCCCTTTCTACCCAGTCAGCTCTATCTTAGGGGTGAAGGCAAGCAGAAGGAAATAGGGCACGGCAACGCCTAGACAGAATGATGAAGCCCAGAAGACTGGCCTCTAGGGTATCCACCCAACTTTTCCTCCCTCTCAATGAACACAATGGGGGCACAAACCTCAGGAGCTATTTCTATACTATGCCTGAGCCTGCTGAGTGGAAGTATAAAGAAAGGATCTAGCAAGGATCTCTAACCACCAAGATGAGCCCATAGTCAAGATTCAACATTTGGTATGTGGCCACCTTGAAAAACACAGAACAACCTACCAGAATTACAACTATGAAAAAATAAATGGAGTATAAGAAAAGGACTTGTCTTAAGAAGTATAGTGTCTTCAAATATAATGTGACATCACAATAATGAATAAGGAATTGTTTGTTATGAAACAAACCAAAGTCAAACCTTGCAAATAAAAAAAAAACTGTAATTAATAAAATTAAAAAAACAGTATATATAAATAGAAAAATGGATGCAGCTGAAAAACAGATTAAATATCTGAAAGACAGAAAGAGCCAAGGAATGTAGTTCAATGCCACAAAAGTGAAAACGTAAAAAATACAGAAGAGTTCCATAAGCCATAACATCTATTTAACAGATAACAGTGAGAATAGAAGGGTGCCAGTCCCATATGCCAGAGGTGGCAGGTTCAAACCCAGCCCCTGGCCAAAAAAAAAAGAGAGAATAAAAGGAAGGGAAAATATGAAGAAATAACAAAAGGGAATTTCTTATAGTTGAAGAAAAATATAAGTCTTCAGGTTGAAATTTTCCACCAGCTATAGAGCAAGATTTTAAAAAAGAAACAAACACAATCACATTTATGCCTCTATAAATGTAATGAACCACAAAGACATTTGCACCAGAATGTTTATTGTGGCTCAGTTCATAATTGCCAAGTCGTGGAAGCAACCTAAGTGCCCAAAAACCCAAGAAGGATCAACAAACTGTGATATATGTATACCATGGAATACTACTCAGCCGGACTTTACATCTTTTATATTTGCCTGGATGGAGTTGAAATACATTCTTCTTAGTAAAGTATTGCAAGAATGAAAGATAAATATCCAATGTGCCCCATATTAATATGAAACCAATATATAACCAATTACACACCCATATGAACAATAAAACACAAATAGAGTCTAGTACAAGGGTAGAGGGAAGAAGGAGGGGGAAGGGGGATGAGGGAGGACTATTGGCAGAAGGAGGGAGAGCCTTAGGTGGGATCTCACCTAATGTTCACATCGTAAGGGTGTTTAACATGCCCCCTGGGTGAGGGGCTCTTCTACAATTGGAACTTTACTCTGGAAGTGAGAACAATATAACCTAAAAATTTGTACCCTCATATTAATTTGAAATACAAAAAAAAGAAAAGAAAAGAAATTTTTAAATAAATGTAATGAAAGTTCAAAGCATTAAGGAAGTAGTTGATATGCTAAAAGCTACAACTATAAAGAGACACTGCTAAGCTTTCAGAGGGAATGAGAAAAAGACTATCCCAAGTAGTACATTCTAAGGAATTCTGATCAGATTTGGCATTAGATTTTTTGACAACACTAGTTGAAAAAAAAGACATTGCTTCAGTTGCTGAAGCAAAAGAAGTTCAAATGTAAATTTCTATATTCAGCCAAAGTATCGTATGAAGATGAAAGAAGATTTGTTTTAATATCTGGGGATTCAGTTTTAGTAACTCAACAGAACTTCTCTCAAAGCTGAAAGAACTGCAAGGGAATGAACAAAGAAAATGAATCCAGAACTTAATGACTACAATGGTAAGCAAAGAAAGCCATAAAACTACTTTTTCTATGAAGTATGATTATAAAATTATATTTTTAAAAACACTCTGGGATGGTGGGGCGGGTCATGGTGTACAGCACACCTCTTGGGGGCATACACAATTACAAGAGGGACTTTACCTAACAAATGCAATCATTATAACCTAATTCTTTGTACCTTTAACAAATCCCAAATTTAGAAAAAAAAAAAAAAAAAAAAACACCCTGGCTCTAAACTTTCCAGTTATGTCAACACGGGATGTGGAACATGGAGGGTGAGGGACTGATAACGGAGTCAGGAAAATGAAAGCATGATTCTTAGGTCCATCAAAAGGAGACAATGGATAACGATTAACTACTGATACTGTTAGAAAATATAAATTTAACTGCTTGTGACAAAAGTTGAATGGAACCACTTGAACTTGAATAAAAAAGATGGGATGTATAGTTTTCACATCAGTCAAGAAAGAACAAAGAAAATTCCATTAATCCATGAGCTTAATCCATAAAAAGGCTCAGAAGAGGAAACAAAGTGTGAGAGAAAGGAAGGTAAAATGAAAGCACAAAATAAGATAGCAGTAAAGAAAACTGAGTGTATTTTTAAATAATAAATATAAATTTCATGAATTTGTTTCCTAGAAGGTAAAATATCTAGTTGGATGTTTAAGATGTTAGCTATGTGCAGCTTACTAGAGAGAACGAAACTGTGATGCGAAGTCTCCATCTTCTTTTACGGCTGCATAGTATCCCATGGTGTACATCTATTATGTTTACCTGGTTGGAGCTGGAACATATTCTTCTTAGTAAAGTATCCCTAGAATGGAAAAAAAAAGTACCCAATACTACTATGAAATCAATATATAACCACCTACACAATCATATGAATGGCAGAACCTAACTATAGTCCATAAAGTAGAAGGGAAGAGGAGAGAGAGGGATAGGGAGAGAGGATATGGGAGAAGGGAGGGTATTTGGGGGACCTCACCTAATGTGCATGATGCAAGGGTACATTTCAAAACTATTAAGAAATGAGTATAATTGTGATGGATGTGTTACTCAGTTCAATGTCAACATTTCACGTTATATATCAAAGCAGTACCCTGAACCCCATAAATGCATCAATGTACAAAGTTATGATTTAATTAAAAAATTATTATTATTAAAAAAGAAAGAAAAAAAAGAAAACTGTGATGACTCAAAGCTTGAAAACCTTTACCACCCAGGGGCAGGTACTCATGGGAAGTTGGTAACAGCAACACTGTGACCAGACAAAATAAAATTGAAAGTCAAAAACATTAAAAGTATCAAAAAAGGACATTTCATGTTCTTAAATAATTTACTAGGAAGATATAATACCGAGAACTTTAATACACCTACATCATTTTGAAATTCCTACAAAATGGGTAACACCACAAGGGAAAAGTAATGAATCTCCATGCCAGTGATCTGTTAAAGCCTCTTCCCATGATCTACCATGAATAGAAATAGGGAGTATTTATATAATAAAGTTACAAGCTTCTGCTAGTAGATATACCTAGACCTTACACCCTACAGAGAACACACATCTTGTTCATTTACTCAAATAACATTAAAAAAGATCCTATAAAAGACTACAAAGAAAATTATAAGAATTTTTTTAAAGGCTATTTGACAGAATCATAGTATATTAAAATTAGAAATTTAAAAGAATTGAGCCCAGAAATATAGGTATTTTAAGTCACTTCAAAATAATTCATTGGCTAAATACCAAAATTGAAGTTTCAAATTGTTTAGAAACGAATGCAGATGGAAGCACTCCTGTCAAACACAGCATCAGTGGAGTCTTCTTTGTTCAATGTCTGCTCCAAAAATAGGACTAAAACAAAGAGAAAGGGTGAAAAGGTTAGCAATGACCTTGAATCATTTGAAAAAAACACTGAGTGCATTCATTATCCTCTCATGAAGACGTCCTAATTATAGAAAGATTTCTTTTGGAATAATAAAGTGAATAAAAATGCTGGTGTTGAAAGTAATAGCTACACAGAAAGTTGCTATCTAGGATGATTTAATTTGTAAGAATCTAGAAGAGCTTAGAAATTTATAGGCTTTGCAATGATTGCTTGGATTCCAGTATTTCAGTTCCTTTAAAAAAAAAATAGTAAAGTAACTAAGATTACAAAAGAGTTAATGTTAATCTCCCAGCATAAAAATAATGTACTGTATAAAAGGTCTTTGAAATAAGACAGGATGGACAGAAGTAATTCTAACAAAATTTTATCTTAAAGACCATATAATCAAACTGCTCCAAAATAAGTGCCTTTCTACTATATTCTTATGTCTTATTCATTGGTGTTTGTTCATAATATTTTATTATAAGATTATATTAATGGCTCAATGAACTTCTTGGTGTCTATAGACTTTGCATTTTAGTGGAATATTTGTGTATAAATGTTTTCATCAAATTAACAAACAAATGAAAATTTATGGAACGTGAAGAGCTGAATTAATGAATTCATTTAAGGACAGAAAAAAATGCTTCATTGCTCTTGAGCTTCCTAAGTGTTGAAACACATGCATTCTAAATCGATATGAGAATGTATTTTTAATGGAAAAAATGTACAAATGTGTGGGGGGAAATGAAGATAATGTTTATATCAAAGAGTTACAGAAGATGAGACTTAAAAGATGATTTGAAGCCTGTGGTATGGGGACTTGAAAACTTTAACTTGGAAAGGACCTCAGAGTTATCTGATCTGCTGTGCAGCACACTTCTGTCACCCAAGAATCCTCATGGGTCCTTTTGTTACTTTCTGAGTATGGCTTGAAGATAACCTTCAACATAGTCCAACTCAGAAGAGGGAAGGGAAGGGGCCAGGTGAGGTGGTGCACTCCTGTGATCCTAGCACTCTGGGAGGCTGAGAGGGTGGATCACTTGAGCTCAGGAATTTGACACCAGCCTAAGTAAGAGCAAGACCCTGTCTTTATGAAAAACAGAAAAAATAGACATTGTGGCTGGCACCTGTAGTCCCAGCTACTCAGGAGGGTGAGGCAAGAGGATCACTTGAGCCCTAGAGTTTGAGGTTGCTGTGA